GATGGATGGATGGATGGATGGATGGATGGATGGATGGATGGATGGATTTTAAAATATTTTCTGTTTCTGAAAAAGATTAAAAATTGAAATACAAATAAGAAAATAAAAAAGAATCGTAGCTGTTGAATATGATCCACTGCATATTTGATAAATCTTTATTTCTGTCATATTAATTGTTGCATTTGGTTTTTAATTTTGTAGATCCAAGAGAAACTAACAATGGGTGTGAGAAATGCCTTATCGATAATAATGATACTGACAGGTAAGATTCTTTCAAATGAAAAGTTCCTTTTATTCATTTAATTTTTTTTTAATTTAAATGTTTTTTCTGACAGTGAAGGGCTTATATACAATGGTTTATGCCCAAACTACTGCAACGACGACTAGCACAGTTATACCTGCCACGACAACACCTGCCCCAACCACAAGCACAGCTGCCGCAACCACAAATGCCTCGACCACAACCACAGCCGGACCTACCACAACCACCGCTGCACAAACTGCTACTGCAGCTGTACTTACAACTACAACAGCTACACCAACCACGATAACAGAGGCCCCAACTACAACCACAGCTGCCCAGACCACGTCCACCGGAACCCCAACAACGACTGCTGCACCGACAACCACCATAATTGTACCTCCCACTACCACAGCTGATCCGACCACAACAGCGGCAACTACAACAACCACAGCTGCCCCAACCACATCCACAGGAACCCCAACCACGACTGCTGCACTGACCACTGCAACAGCTGCAACTACCACCACAGTTGCACAAACCACAATAACAGAGGCCCCAAGTACAACGACAGCTGCAGCAACCACAACCATAGCTGTACAGACAACTAACACAGCTGCATCTACCACTACAACAGCTGATCCAACCACAACAGCTGCAACAGTCACAGCTTCCCCAACCACATCCACAGGGACCCCTACCACGACTGCTGCACCTACCGCTACGACAGTTGTACCTGCCACAACCAATGCTGCTGCAACTACGACCACAGCTGCCCCAGTCACAACAAACGCTGCACAGACAACTACAACAGCTGCACCTACCTCTACCACAGCTGATCCGACCACAACAGCTGCAGCTACAACAACCACAGCTGGCCCAACCGTAACCACAGGAACCCCAACCACAGCGACTGCTGCACAAACAACAACAACAGCTGCAACTACCACTACTGATCCAACCACAACAGCTGCAACTATAACAACCACAGCTGCCCCAACCACATCCACAGGAGCCCCAACCACGACTGCTGCACTGGCGACTGCAACAGCTGCAACTACCACAACAGTTGCACCAACCACAATAACAGAGGCCGCAAGTACAACCACAGCTGCAGCAACCACAACCATCGCTGTACAGACAACTAACACAGCTGCAACTACCACTACCACAGCTGATCCAACCACAACAGCTACAACAGCCACAGCTTCCCCAACCACATCCACAGGGACCCCAACCACGACTGCTGCACCTACCGCTACGACAGTTGTACCTGCCACAACCAATTC